TGGGAGGAGGCCCGCGGCTGCTCCCGGCTGTGGGCGCTGCCCTGCGGTGCACTCTCTGTGGATCCCAACTTTCCTGCCCGTCTCGTCTTCCCGTGCAATCCACTCCTCCGACGCCAGCGCCGTAGGATGTCCTCGCACGTTTCTCATCTTCACGCGGAACTGGATGCGATGACTCCCGAAAGGAGTAGCCTCATCCCTCAAAGAGCGGCCCCCAAAGCACTCGCTCTGTTTGATTGCTCTCTTAAAATCAGCAAACCCCGAAGGTTTGGTTTGTGTAATGGCTCGTACCCACCTCGCCAGATCCCCGAGCAAAGTTTGGGGGATTGACAGTAACAGTTCACTCGAACAAAAAACGTATTTTCTCCATGACCTATAAAGGTTGTCCGAGAAGGTCTTAGTGCGTGATTGAATAACTTGTTCTAACTACAGGAAGAATGAAGGGCTTGATGTTCAACCTCTTTGTTCCCCATTCTGTACCGGGATGTGTGGGCATTAAGGGTTCCTCACATACTTATGCACTATGATGGTATGTTCGAGAATACCTCTTGGTTTTTTAGTACAGTGGTTTTCTTTCTAAATGAGAACATTTATTTTTAGATGCTAAATTTTAAAGTAAAACACACACACACAAATCAGACCTACCAAGATATATATTGTATAAAGTAAGTCTGTTTTTACCCAGCTCGTTTGGCATCATGATTTCCCCCACATGTGATTGTAATCTCTTTTTTATTCATACTTCTCCTCAAGTGAATATTCACAGTACAACTGCAGTGTCTAAAAGCCTACTGTAAAAATCCATTAATCTCTTACGTGTGAAATATAAAACACTTTCCTTGCAGACAGTAAGTTGATAGCCAAGAGACTCTTACTATGGTAACATTTTATATGGTTTGAATATGGAAAATTTAAGAATAAAAAGAACCACTTAAGCACCTGGAAGTCAAGACAAAAATATTTCCTCACAACAATGCCAGTGAATTAAAGGATGATTCTTTTATCTTACCACAGTGAATGATCATTTTGCCATTCAGAAAATCTACAATTAAAGCTAGTACATTGTTCAGTTTGTCACCTGTTCTATGCTCTGAACTATTTTTAAATAAATGAACAATTCTTCTGATCCATTTACAATAAACATAGTGGCACAGCCACTTTCCAGATCACTTCATAAGCAACATAGTTAGATCATATTATTCTAATCATACCGCAGTCATTTCAAAGTCACGTTGTAGTCGCAACACATAGCTTAGCAATAGTTATTTAACATCATTATTAAACGAAATTGTTGCTGTTTGCTAAGGTATAGCTTCACTTGCTGGCAGAGCCCATTATTACTTGGTGCTCATGAATGAAATCTTATTATGAACCCAGGATGAAGGTTAGGGAAGGGAAAAAAAAGAAATCATCACATGATTTAATTTATGACTATGAGACTCCAATTAAAGAAAACCACAGGTCAGAGCCCCAGAATGAAATATGTCTAGATTCTTTTCAGAGGAGAATGAGTGAATGCTAGAGATAGAGCTACCAACTCAGGGCATTCCATCTTGTAGGTGTTTATTTCACATATTCAAATTATTGAGATTCCTTAATCACAGCAGTTCTACCTCTTAAAACTAGAATGGTTGAGGTTTGTTTGCCCTATTATATTCCAACTTACAAACTCTAGAATTAGAACTGTTGTCAGAGATCTTGTTAATATTCCTAGAAAAAAATTAAATATAAAGGGCTATACTCCTCGGCCCTCTACTACCATAACTTGGGGCTTCTGCCCAAGATACTATATAAACTATTTGTATAACTAGAGCTGTCCACAATCCACCTCTCCAATATTGTTTTTAAAGTTATATCTGTGTCGTTTTGAGTTGGGAAAATATTCATTAATTTTAGTTTAAGGGGAAATCTATTTGTTTTCTTGCAGCATTTTTATCCATTTTTTCTTTAGTGAATTTGCTAAAATAATAAATTTCCGATGATATGATTTCCCATTTGCTTCTTCCTATTTATGTATTATACTTTCATTGAGATCCCCTTAACTAGCCCTTACTCGTCTTTGTCAATGCGTGTTTTCTACAGCAAGGAATTACAATGTTCTCACCTGTGCTGTACCTGATTAGTACTTTAAGAATTATGCCATCTGGGCTAGAGTAAAATGACCTAGTGTTCTCTGCAGGTTATATAGGTCATGGGATGTTTGTGAAGCTAAGTCACTGTCAGTTTGCTAACTGAAAACTAAAATGGTATTGCAGATTTACACACAAGCAGATGTTGAGTTCATAAAATTATTTTATATTTGCCAAATTTAATATTTCTCTATTTAGATATTTAAACAATAATTCCCATGTAATGGCATTGAATAACCTAAATTATTAAGCAGTTCAGTTTGTTAATTGGATTTTCATTTAGGATTTTCTAGTTACCACTCAGCATTTTAAAATTAAATTTCACACAGAGATTGTAAAGGCTTTTTCTGTAAGTTATATTTTATATAAAAGACAGACTGTAGCGCTTACAATGTTCAAATGACCTCCATAAGGACTTTAAGACTAATATTTTCAGCTCTAATAAACTAGTTCTATATTCCAATCATAGTTAAACATAAAAAAAAAAAAACTTTTGTGTCCTGTACTTCTAAGGTTCCTTTAATCCAGATGTCTTATTGTGTCTAACAGACATTAATCAATCAATCACAAGAGCTCTTATGTCACAGCAGGTATTATTGTCCCCATTTCACAAAGGGACTAGACTGTTATACTTCTGAGGGACACTTGTGCTAAAAAATTTAAGGGTTATTTGTATTTTCACTGCTTAAAAATGACAATGCAGAATTTTAACACCACATAAAGAAAATTAACACCTTTTTAAGGTTGTGCAAACTGGCAATGTGTAGTAAGCTTCTTGAATAATTCTTTTGACTCACTATTTATTATTAGCTCTTTCCATTTGGATACCTTTTTTCTTTTCTTTACTTTTTTTTTTTTAAGGAAAACCTAGTCCAAGGTAATCAAATCACAAAGGAAAGCTGGTGACAACCTTCATTTTCTTTGAATGACTGAACTAAATTTATCCCAATTTGCTATATTTTTATGACTGCCAACGATTATAAATGTCAGGTTTGTAGCTCTAACAGTTATCACAATATAAACTGACATTTTCCAGTGCCACTATTTTATCATGATTACTATATAAATAAAGAAAATATTGAATTCTCAAGTTTCGCTATTGCTTCTTTAAGATTTCAGATTATTTATAGACATAGCTTTCATAACAAATGCTTTTCTGCATCACAGGTAGGGCTCAAGCAATCATATAGGAAAACATGAAAAAATATATTTAAGGTAGTAAACAGACTAAATATGTATCACATTTAATCTTAAATAATTTGATTAAAGTCATGTAATTTACAGTGAAAACTTTATTAGTTCTTTAGGATATTTATTTCTGTAGGTAAAAGTGTTAGATTAAAATATTAAGTATTATCTATTCAATTCACATAAGCTGATAAATGTACAAGGACGTAGGAGGAGCGTGCACTTTGTTCAGAAGCACAAAATATTTACACAAAAACAGAGACCAAAAAAATGTTGAGACAACACATTTCAAGCACAATAGCATTTGCCCAAAAATATTTAGGAAAAAGGTTTTTTAAAAGATAACTCCAAAAAAAAGCAACAGATACTGGAGAGGATGTGGGGAAAAGGGAACATTTCTACGCTGTTGGTGGAAGTTTAAACTAGCACAGTCTCTGTGGAAAACAGTTTGGCGAGTCCTAAAAGATCTAAAAATCGACCTCCCATATGACCCTGCAAACCCCCTGCTGGGAATATACCCAGAGTAACTCGCTCTATGAAAAAGATACCTGCACTTGCATATTTATTGCAGCATTGATCACAATAGCAAAAACATGAAACCAACTGTGCTGCCCATCAAAAGAGGACTGGCTAAAAAAAATGTGGTACACATACATGATAGAATATTATGCAACCACAAAGAAGAACAAAATTATGAACTTCACAGCAACTTGGATGGACTTAGAGTCTATAATACTGAGAGATCTATCATAGAAACAAAGAACTTAATATCATATGTTCTCACTCATAAGTGGACCTTGAACAATTATAATACTATAAGAAAAGGATTGGTAGTAGTGGGAAATTGCTGGGATGGGGGGCTGCACCTCATTAACAAGGGTACCTGCATCATGTATACTTAAGCCTGAATTGTATCCCACATCTTTAAAATAAAAAAATAAAATAAAATATAAGTAGTACAATGTCTTAAAATTTTTCTTTCATTATGGTATCATTAATAAGAGTATGTTTTTGAAAACAACTTTGTGTTACTTGAAATAACATTATTTTGGAAACTTTCAATCTCTGTTCCTCCAGTCCTATCTTCT